CCACCTGGATTTTAACAGTCATGAGCCATATATTTTTTTTCCTACATGGAAAAATGCTATATTATAGATAACATAAATGTCTGCTATATTTTTGATAACATATAGGTTACATTTTACATAACAAATGTGCCAGCAGTCCAATATATATACATATATATATATATATATATATATATATATATATATAGCTCTTCATATATTTTATTTGTGGCAATTTCATTTAGTAATTAATTCCATTTAGTCATCCGAGATGTTCGTTTTCACGGCAGGCCTTTTGTTATTTGTTCTTGAAGGAGAGTGAGGATTTGGCACAGTCGTGTGTATGTAGGACACATGGTTGTCAAGTGGGCGTGTCTATGCACTGCAGTCTGTCTTCTGATGGACAAGGAGAGGTAGGGGTGTGTGTGCATTCACTGACAGGAACACATCCCACGGCCCCCTCCGACAATCCTAACGGGCCTTCTTCTGACAGCCAGTCCCGATAGTAAGCAAAGGATGTAAACACGCAACCAGGGACACCGCAGAAGACAGGCTCACATTAACCTTGCTTGCAAATGGCTGCACACCCCCATGCTTTATTAATAGTATCTTGAGGGCGCTTGTATAGCACATGTGCTCTTTAACAGAGACTGTGGAAAAAAATAACACTTGGACATCTTTGCAAAACACAATGAGGCCTTGTCACATGGGGATCTGTTTAATGTGGGTGTGTTGCTCTCAGTTATTTTTAATTAGGTTAAATACTGGGCAAACAATATCTTTTGATACATTACGTTTTGGCTTTCTTGTTTTTTGTAAAAAAAAATTTCCCCCAAATGTAATAGACTCGGGTAAGTCTCAGAACAAATGATAATATATGGGAAATAATTTATCCAAATGTTACCACAATGTATGAGTCAGATTATTGCATAGATTGGTTATTTTAAAATTAGGCTTTTAAATAGGATTTTAAAAAATAGATCTGATCATCAGGTGTAAATACCCTCTGAAACCGTGGGTCCATACATTTGTAAGTGTACAGACAGAAACTTTATAAAGACAGTTCACTTCGTGTATACAGACAGGAGCCATCTTAGAAAATAGTCTCGATAAGTCGATCCCCGAACGCCGTTCATACAGTTCAGAAATTCGCTGAACTTCATACAGTTCAGATCACTCAGCACGACGTTCGTGGTTTGACTTGTCATGACTGTTTTCCAAGATGGCACCTATCTGTATTCGCGAAGTGAACTGTCTTTATAAAGTATCTTCTTATTAAACGGTCTGTACTCTTACAAAGTTCTCAATGCTTCGTTTTGCATGTATGGACCCTCATTATGTTACTGTGTTAGTGTGGGGCTATTTTGAGCCTTGTTAGTGGTATAAACTAGCGATTTCTTTTTACTTAGTAAATGCCCCCATTCCTAGCGTTATACGCTAATCAGTTTTTAGAGATAAAACTCTTTACATTCGATTATCATGAAAATAAATCTCAGATAACGGTTGACTAGGTATCAATGTTTTGTTAGACCAAAGGTTCATTCTGCGCATAATTGCGATTAATCGCGATTAAATATTTTAATCGTTTGACATTACTAATATATTTATATTTATACTGTTGTGCAGGAATCGAAGATCGGATTTATATTCATTTTGTGGAGACACATTTGTGTGGTCAAGTGTAAATGGAGCCATTTTTACAAATCAGTAAAAACACATACCTAGTTCTGTCATGATACTCTAGATGGTGCAGGCTTATACAGGTCTACAGTCTTATCTCAGGTCGGTAGGTCTTTAACTAATTTGGTCGATATCCCGTCATTATCTGCATTGCACAGCTGATTGGTTGCTGCTGTTGCTTCAGCGGCCACAACAATTCAAACAAATTCCAGTGGTGTTGCTGTTAGCAGTATGCAGCGTGCTTTCAGAAACCCTCCACCTTCCCCAGCTCCACCTGTATAGATCTGCAACAAGGATTAAATCATGTATGTTACGTGTGCAGCAGCATCAGCATGTCTTACATGCTCACAGCAAGGTATTGGCAGTGTACTACAGCGTAGCAGATCTATTCTGCCCAGACCAAATACATTAGCATTGCCATATCCATCTCTATTACCATAACAATCTCCTGTGAGTTGTCATGACAGAAAGGTTCTCAGCAACAATCCTCCATATTTCCCATTTCCCTGTACTCAACACTATTTTTATTTTGGTCTGTTTGTTCATTACATTTTTTTCCCCCTCAGACTCCAGAGTGTGTAGTATCTTAAAAAGGAGCCATTTACAAAATGGTTGTTAGTGCATCAAGTCATCACGCAGGAGGAAATGACTGGAAACAAACAGGTGCTCTCTCAGATTCATTTAGCGTTGCTTTCGGGGAAAGTCCAGCATAAACCCGTTTTTTGTTTTTGTTTTCTAGGAGCGATTTACATGCATTTGAACCCAAATCAGCTTTGGTTTGGTCTGTTGTGTCATTTTCAGCGACACCAAGTAAACATCTGCAGGAAAGCGGTGGGGGGGAAACGTCCTAATTAGGATGAAGTCGATGTCCTGTATTCCCAGCTGCTCGCTATGTGTAGACAGACGACGTAACCTCTTCTCCTGAGTGCCCTCTCACAATGCAGCCTGTGAGGTGAACACAACACAACAGTTGGTGTAATAAGACAATTAGCCCGCGCAATTTATAACTTTCTTAATTGCGCTGCAAGCTGCAAACGTTCCCAGTGCGTCCGTCACCTGCTAATTGTGAACCTATCGCTCACAAGAAAATGGAGGACAGGAAATGGAGAAAACAAAGCCCTTTCTCTCTCTCCATCTTTGTCTCAACCTCAATCGTCTTTTTTCTCTCCTGATTAAATAAATGCTTTTTAATTAGTTTGGAAGTAATGCATGTGTTCTCCGTCCTTTGTCTTAATCTCCACCGATGCCATTGTGAAAAACACCTTCTGCGACGGAGACTCGTACAGTCGAATGTGCTGAAATATTTAACGTCGTCGTTGGATGCCTGCCACAAAGTGCAATTGGCTCGGCAGCCCTGATGAAATTATTCCTAATATGTCTCCGCTGATTAGGTGCTCTGCTTAGACGAAGAACATGCAGTTTGCCTGCTTTTGTATTAAAAGGTTAGTTTTAAGGAATGGTTATGGTTAGGTTTAGGGGTAGGAGTAGGATTAGTGGCTCAAAATATATTTTAATGCTAAAACTCATTTAACTACACATCTCTGTCCATTATCCTTTTTATATTCTGTATAAATAAATATGTTTAGGTTTTTGGAGTAGGATTAAGGGGTCTTGTTACATTCATCTTTAAAAGTGAAAGTATACAGATATCGTTATGATATATAGTTAACGTTTTGTAGCTGTAAAAACGTAATAAGGTTACGTTTAAATGTTGCAAATACGTCCATATTATACGTTTTAGCATCCATCCAAACGTACAAAAACGTACGTTTCATATCTTTGAAAATAACGTATTAAACCTACGTATTAACAATGAGACATATTAGGTTAAGGACCAACGTAATAGCGCTGCTTATATGTTGGCATGTAACGTAATTGCGATTTGCAAAATAGTTTCCTCAGAATGTATTTCGTGTGATACAGGGTTGATTAAAAGGCTATGCTTGACTGCTGTCCATTCATCAATATTTGTTTTTCAACATAAAATTAGCCTTTCTGCTGGTGAAACAAAAAAATAGAATGACTTGTAACTTACTGGGCAGTAAGTGTTGATATTGGACGGTGGCTTATCCAAAACTCCTGTTTGGAGTAAATACCAGATGCCGTCTCGGTCAGCCATATGGAGCTCGCTGCCTCGCAGCAGACTGGGAGCTGGGAATGGAAACAGGTGGAAGGTACAGAGATTAAAGACCCGCTCAGGCTGCCTTGCATCATGGCGACTTGCGCTTCGGTAGCCATGTTTAAATCTGCTCGTCTTGACGTTTCTATTCGTATTGTAAATGGGTCATCAACTTTAGGAAATGTTACGCATTATGGTGGGGGAAAAAAAAAGATGGGAGGAAAAGATGTATTTAAATTATTTTGCGTTCTGCCGAGAAGTTTCTAAAAAGTTTTGCGGTTGCTTTTATTTCTCATAGTGACCCATTATATGTTGTTCTATAGATCAATTTCTCTATAACATCCAGTGATTATCTGTACATCAAAATCAGACAGGAGATGATCTACAGATTATCACCTGCCGTCTTTAATGTTGTGGTGATATTTATTAGGGTGTTGGAGGTTACATTCCTCTCTCAAGGGCAGAGCCTCAGTAAGCCTCTGCGGGGACATGAACCGGCAGCATACTGGTATCTGCTCCATTACCCTGCCCAGTGGACCAAGCGCGACTTCATTCATCTCTGTTTCAGTTGCAAATCCACCTGATCTCTTGTGTTTAGATCATTTCATACTGAGGCTACCAATGGGAGCTCGCACAAAGAATTTGGTGTAAAACAATGCAAATGTGTGCGTATTTTGCGGAAATGTACATAATACATAATCAATACATTAATGCTGAAAAACAAAATTACATCAAAAGGTTGCCTCAGTGCATGTTACATAACCTCACATGTAACATTAAGGTTACATTATCTCACATTATAATGTAAATGTAAAATGAAATCGTATGTACAATAAATTTGCCTTCTATGTGACATATTTAGGAATTGGTGTGATTAGTGTTTTTTAATTGATTGGAATATTAATAATAAATGTTTGAATAAATATATATATATATATATATACTGTATATACATACAAAATCTATTCCCCAAAATGTATGTGCTGTACCATTTTTACAAATTTTACCATTTTAATTCATTTCTTCTGGTTTATTTTAATTCATTTTTCTTTCACTCCACATGTCAAAAAGACTTGTTTTTTTGGTGCCACGAGACAGTTACCTGATCAGCCAGACTTAGGAAATTCAGACATTTCTAAATCTCTGTTTTGCAGCACCGCCCGCAGGAAGACTGTCACACAATCCTTTCAATCTCTCTCGCTCTCTCTCTTTCCCCATCCAGATGTACAGCACATTAAGCGCAGAGATATCGTGCTCAAGAGGGAACTGGGCGAAGGGGCCTTTGGGAAGGTGTTCCTGGCAGAGTGCTACAACCTAAGCCCCACTAAGGACAAGATGCTGGTGGCTGTCAAGGTAAGAGATGATCCCTCCATTCCAACAGGGCCGTAGTGCTCTCGAGTTACACAGGACTCATTCGAAAGGTCAAGCCCCTTTTTCCAGCCCCCCTCGAATGACATATAAAGTTGATCCTCCTGTGCCCGCTCGAGCAGGGTTACTTTCAGGGAACGAGCGGTAGACGTCTTGGTGGTGGAGGATTTGTTGACTAAGATCAATGATGGAAAGAGCTCTGCCGTGCTCCGAGGAGAGATCAGCTACAATAGCGTTTAATATTTGGCATTGATGTAAGGTTTGAGGGGGTATTAAAATATTCCAGTGCTGTGGTTTAGTCTTCATGGCATAGACAGAGTGGAATGAGTCATCGCTGTGGGCAGACAGTTCCTGGATAATGCCTTTACATGGTTTACCACATGGGACTATTCACCAAGGTCAAGGAACTCACCGTCCAGTGAGTTGAGGCGGTCTATTGAAGGTGGTCTTCAGATCAGTGCTGATCTAAGTGCGTCAGTTTGTCTGATGGTTTAGAAATGTCGACGTTTCAAGGTTTCACAGATGCTGACATGCTGAAGTTAAACATTAATGTTAAACATGCTTTGTATTTTGTTGAGTTTTTTTTACATGAGGAAAGAATTTGAAGATTTATCAGCTTTATTATGTTATAAATAATATGAATCATTAAAGAAATAATATTATAAACCTTATTAACCACCCACCTAACTATCTAAACTCCCTAAACCACCTAACCCATCGACTTACCGACCTAATGTAACTACCTAAACCTACTTAAAATTAAGGAATCTAAAATGAAATCTAAATAAAATCCATTAATACATTTGTTAATTTAAATCATGTTTAAAACAGTTAACCATGACATAGATTAATAACTCCCTTTCCAAATTGATGCTCTAATTAAAAACTGTAATTGATGTTTATCCATTTCTTAATCCATTTGCCAATTTCTCCATCCGATTTGTTAATTGGACTATTCACATGGGAGCAGCCAATGAACTTTGACACTCAGAGTACACTGAGATGGCCATAAAGAAAAGCACCTGGTCAATGCTTGTTTTATTAACAAGCCAGCAGGGCTGAGCCTGATTGGTACTTGGATGGGAGACCTCCTGAACCCACTGGCACCGTTGCACTGTGGCTACCGTCGCATCATCCAAGTGGATGCTGCACACTGGTGGTGGTTGAGGAGAGATCCCCTGATATTATTGTAAAGCGCTTTGGGTGTACAGTAGTACATATGGAAGCGATCTAAATGCCTAATTCATCCATTCATTATATTAAGTTTTATTTTATTTCTAATTTGTGGATTTTGCAGTCCAAGACCGTCATTAAAAATACTCTACAATCGTCTGATTTCAGAACGAAAAAAAAGATATTCAAATATTCAATCAAAAGGCAGAGATTTAAAAAAAAAAAAAAAAACTCTTCTCATTAGGTTCCTCTAAGACCAAACCATGCTGTTTGTTCTTTGAAGAATCTAATGAGACATGAGTTTGAACTATGCAACCCACATTCATTTTATAGTTCTATACCCCCACTGTATTTCAACAATTGTGTAGTTTTTATCTACGTAGAAATTGTTGGAGAAATGTCTAGTCTGAGGCAAAGTTGATACTTAAATGAAATCTAAATGACTCTCTTTAGCTTTGAAACAACCTCTCAGCAATAAAAAGTTCCTCAGGGAAGATGCTTGGCTTCGTCTGCTTCATGGAGCTCCATCACAGCAGCTGTTGTTTGAAAGCCTTCCAACTCATATTCAGAGAGGTCAAGTTTTTCCTTGTATTTTGGCCAAATAGCTGCCAGTGTCTCTCTCATACCTTTGCTCTCCCTCATCTCCACCTGATGCCCAAGACCTCTAGACCCTTATTACGAGTGACAGCCCCCCAGGTGGTGCTGGATTCGTCCCCTCTGCTCTCTCCAGCCTGTGCAGGTGGCCAATTTTGCAACACAGGGGTAATAAAGCATTATGGATAGGGATAGATACCTCGCCATCTGCGAATTGGTTCCCTCATCCATCTCGAACGCGTGAACCTCTGAGCAATTCCTGATATGGATTAACCCACGGTAGCTCTAATTAAAATTAAACTGCAAGCTCTGAGGGTGAAACGCAATTATAACATAATTGAAGGAGCGATTCCTCACAAACACAACGTGATGCTGCATCTGGCTGCAAGGGTGTCTGGGAAACCAATTGACATATCACGGCCAAGGCCACAAAGCCAAGGCCACAAAGGGGGGTTATTTTTCTGTGAATGATGGGATATAAAATGACAAAAAGACGGATGTGTACAGGCGACTATTTAATCTTCCAGAAAGACAAAGAAGGGCACTCGCAAATCAGAGACATCATACAGGTCAATTTGGGCAACTTCCTTGGCATCCCTTGGTTTAGTCCATGCATTTAACTGTCTGATGTTACCTGAATGATTTAAAGCACTTTAGATGTCTACAAAATAATATTTGTCTCAACTCATCTACATTTTGATTGTGCATTTACATATACTTTCAAAAATAGCTCAGCATGCTCCACTGGTTTTAAATTGTTGAAGATTCATAAGCCTTTAGAGACGGATGTGTTTACATACAGATTAGTTGGAGAGGTTAGTCCCGTTAACCTGATTAATTGTTCATTTGAATTATTTATTACTGACTGACTCATTTAAGCTCCCTTAATTAAAGCTGCAGTCCGTAGCTTTTTTGGGGTTAAAAATTATACAAAATACATATTTTTAGAAAATTCATAACCAGCCAGTGTTCAAAACTATCTGCTTGCCTTATACTGGTGTTATCTGCTTGGTACTGGTGGATTTTCGCGGAAGATTCGAGCATGTCTTTGAGTCATTGCGTCACATCTGTACACATAAAGAAGAGTCTCGGCTAGTAGGCTATATTGAGTCATTACGTCACATCTGTACACATAAAGAAGAGTCTCAGCTAGTAGGCTACATTGAGTCATTACGTCACATCTGTAGACATAAAGAAGAGTCTCGGCTAGTAGGCTATATTGAGTCATTACGTCACATCTGTAGACATGAAGAAGAGTCTCGGCTAGTCGGCTATATTGAGTCATTACATCACATCTGTACACATAAAGAAGAGTCTCGGCTAGTAGACTACATTGCGTCATTACATCACATCTGTACACATAAAGAAGAGTCTTGGCTTGTAGGCTATACTGAGTCATTACATCACATCTGTACACATAAAAAAGAGTCTCAGCTAGTAGACTATATTGAGTCATTACGTCACATCTGTACACATAAAGAAGAGTCTCGGCTAGTAGACTATATTGAGTCATTACATCACATCTGTACACATAAAGAAGAGTCTCGGGTAGTAGGCTATATTGAGTCATTACATCACATCTGTACACATAAAAAAGAGTCTCAGCTAGTAGACTATATTGAGTCATTACGTCACATCTGTACACATAAAGAAGAGTCTCGACTAGTAGACTATATTGAGTCATTACATCACATCTGTACACATAAAAAAGAGTCTCAGCTAGTAGACTATATTGAGTCATTACGTCACATCTGTACACATAAAGAAGAGTCTCGACTAGTAGACTATATTGAGTCATTACATCACATCTGTACACATAAAAAAGAGTCTCAGCTAGTAGACTATATTGAGTCATTACGTCACATCTGTACACATAAAGAAGAGTCTCGACTAGTAGACTATATTGAGTCATTACATCACATCTGTACACATAAAAAAGGAGTCTTGGCTTGTAGGCTATATTGAGTCATTACGTCACATCTGTACACATAAAGAAGAGTCTCGGCTATAGTAGACTATATTGAGTCACTACGTCACATCTGTACACATAAAGAAGAGTCTCGGCTAGTAGGCTATATTGAGTCATTACGTCACATCTGTACACATAAAGAAGAGTCTCGGCTAGTAGGCTATATTGAGTCATTACGTCACATCTGTACACATAGAGAAGATTCTCTGCTAGTAGGCTATACTGAGTCATTACGTCACATCTGTACACATAAAGAAGGAATCTTGGCTAGTAGTCTATATTGGTTGTGAGGATGTTGGAGGTGGAGATTTATTGCCTTTTTCACAGCACTTGATATAATTAAACTTATCAATTTGATGGCAGATCCAGAAAGGTTCAAACAACAATCACCAGTGACAACAGATTCACCCTCTGTAAAATGCAAAACACTTTGTTCGGACTTCGGAGTGGCAAAGGAGACTGCAACCGGATGATTAAATCTAAAGATACGAAAGTCTCCAGAGATCTCAAACTCATTACTCATTAGGTTCCTCCAAGTCCAAAACTATGCAGATGAGTTTGATGCATTCCCAAAATTTTGATCAAAAAATGAAGGCATATTTCATTCCTGGATATCCTTTAAAATTAATGTTTTATCTTTGAAATATGGATTTTAATTGAAATTTTGGCTTTTTTGCCCACAATGCTCAAGTGCCTATCTGAGTAGCTAATTTTGTGATTATTAGACAATAAACGGTCTGTCTTCTGTTTCTACCTTCAGACCCTGAAAGACCCAACCCTTGCGGCGAGGAAAGACTTCCAGCGGGAGGCCGAGCTGCTGACCAACCTTCAGCACGACCACATCGTGAAGTTCTACGGCGTGTGTGTGGACGGTGACCCGCTTATCATGGTCTTCGAGTACATGAAACACGGAGACCTCAACAAGTTCCTCAGGTGTGTGGATGAAATCAACAGACTACACACACATTATGTCATGATGCAGTATTTGTTATGCTTTGCTTGTAAAACGATCTCAAATAGAAAAGGAATCAGTTATTATTGATTGAGGTCACAGATCATTGTTGAACATAATTATACACCCACTGAATTCCAATGTCATGCTCTGGGAATTTCAGTCTTTTGATCCAAATCATCCTTAGGAGTTGCAGTGGGCCAGGACTATGACACAATGGCAAATTATTTATGAAATATTTTAAATAAAGACAAAATATAACACTTCACTGTGATATTGTATGGGTAATTGATGCAAAAGTACAGTTGTGGTCATAATTATTGGCACCCCTTGTAAATATGATCAAAGATGGCTGTAAATTATGCGTTGTTTATCCTTTTGATCTTTCAATCAAAAGGATAAACAAAACATCACATAATGTGGGAAAATCACATTATAAAATAAATGTTTTTCTCCAAAACACTTTGGCAACAATTATTGGCACCCCTAGATTTTTTTATTTTTTTTATGAGTAAGATGTCTCTGAAGTATATTTTCATGAATATTTAGATTTTTTTTATCACATCAAGGTGACTAAACATGAAATTTTCTAGCTATGACTTGTTTGTTTCACAGGAGTATAAATATGAGGAAACACAAAGCCAAATTCCCTTTAATCATCCATCACAATGAGTAAAACCAAAGAACATCGTTCTGATGTGCAGCAAAAGATTGTTGAGCTTCACAAAATAGAAAGTGGCTGTAAAAAAAATAGCTAAAGCATTGAAAATCCCCATTTCCATCATCATGGTAATAATTAAGAAGTTCCACTCAACTGAAGATGTTATGAATCTGCCAGGAAGAGGATGAGTCTCTATATTTTCTTAATGCACAGTGAGGAGGAGAGTTTGAGTGGCCAAAGACTCTCCAAAGTTTCCCAGATGGAGAATTGCAGAGATTAGTTGAGCCTTGTGGTAAAAAAATAAAAATAAATTGTATAGCAATATGTAATATTTTAGTTTAAATGAGAGTTCAGATGACAAAATGGTTTTCTTAAAAAGTGCCAAGTGCCTAACAATGTAAAATATGGGATGTCAGTAGGGCCCAACTGACTGTGACTGATAGGTTACTTACAACCCACAAAGGTATTGAACAAGGTGGATATAAGGTGTGTACATGGTTTCTGACAGGGCTCTGTCGCAAGAGCAGAAATTGCTTTCTCTTTCCAGCTAGCAGGATTATAGGGGATAACAGGTTTCGTCAAAACTGCTTTATACGTAATGACACTATAGGCGATAGATTCATGAAAGTGCAGAAAAAAACTGACAGGGTTGCAAATTGCATGTTTTTGATTCCTTTGAAAAGGAAAGTACTCTGTTGATATAATTGCTGTGCCTTTAATAGCCGCTTTAGTTTATTTTAATTTATTTTAATTTTCCATTGATTTGTTTTCTTCTGCATTCATAAATATAACTTTAATTCTTATATAATGCACTACAGAATTAGTGTCTTAAGTGTCTTGTAAGCATCCAAATAGCTTTTGGGTCCAAAGTGACAGAACTAAAATCAGTTGGGTCATTCTTTCTGTTTTATACTTCCAGAGCTCATGGTCCAGATGCAATGATCCTGGTTGACGGACAGCCACTGCAGACTAATGGTGAACTGGGTTTGTCTCAGATGCTGCACATAGCCACTCAGATCGCATCAGGGATGGTCTACCTGGCATCTCAGCACTTTGTGCACCGTGACCTGGCGACACGCAACTGCCTGGTGGGCAACGGGCTACTCGTGAAAATTGGAGATTTCGGAATGTCAAGAGACATCTACAGCACTGACTACTATCGGGTAAGAGCGGTTTTGTATTCATAAATGCTTGAGCAAAATAAATGTTTGTCAAAAATTAGGGATGCACCGATATGAACATTTTGGCCGATACCGATAACCGATAATTCTTTATATTTGAAAGCCGATAACCGATATATCGGCCGATAAACTTACATCCAAATTTGTATCTAATTTTGAGAGCCTGATTACAAATACAAAAGTCTCATAATTAAATCCATGTCCCAAGCGCACAATTATAATGATGTTCTCATTATAGTGTTGTATAGCCGATATGACAGATTTGCGCTGCACATGTTGTACCGAACCATATTTTCATTTTTTTGAAGAGATTTCAATCATATTTCAAGAAATTCAAAAACATAAACAGTGCTACACAAGTGTCTCAGCTGAAGGGAATAATACATTATTTATCGGCTTTAATATATCGGCCACATTTTCTTACCAGGCCGATAACAATAACATCAAAAATGAACATATATCGGCCGATACCGATATGTTGGCCGATATATCATGCATCCCTATCAAAAATTGTAAGTCGGTGGAAAAAACATTCATATACGATCTTGAATTATTCGGCTCCGAGAGAGTCTGAACCTGTATCTAGCTCGTTGATATAGTCATCAAATATCCACAAAACTCAAATGAACTCTTTGTCAATTGTGGCGTATGATGGACCCATAATTGGATGCGTAATTACTTATTTTGAATGACTTGAAAGCTGCTTTTATTTTAAAAGACCTTAGTCAAATTGACAATTCTGACTCATTCGAGCTGGTTGGCTCAATTACATGCTCCGCACCCATTTGTGCTTCCACAGAAGATCCTCAATCAAAATCTTGTCTTTGTCTGACACAGACATGGGCCTCTCTGTAGATTTGGTCTAGATGACAGAGGGCTCAATTTGCAAGATGAGGGCCCTAAATGAATTAAAATGTATGTCTTCACTTAGTGCTCAACAAGAGGATGAATGAGGTGACGCGGAATTTACAGAGCTCCTCTATCACTCGACTAGATTAAGTTGATTTGAACGTGATTGTTCATCTCGCTGCTTTGAATGTGAATCCCATTTTTAGGGCATTGAAGTGAAATCTGCATTCGTACTTGTTCTATCAGTGGCCTTTTTGTGCGAAACCTCCTTTAAGGGTTTCAATTTATTTAATTATTTTTTTTGCTATAATAATAATAATAATAATAATATAGTATTATTAATATAAACTTATTATTTTTGCAAAAATTAATTGCGATTAATCGCATCCACAATAAAAGTCTGTGTTTACATAATATATTTGTGTGTGCTGTATATAATTATTTTGTATATATAAATACAAGCATGCATGTATATATTTAAGAAAATATGTTATTCATTTATAAAATATTTAAGTTTATATAATTTAGATTATGTAATTGTATATATATATATATATATATATATATATATATATATATATATATATATGTATATATACAGAATTTAAGCGCAAATAATTTTTAAATATATACATGCATGCATAGGTATTTATATATACAAAATAATTATATACAGCACACACAAATATATTATGTAAACACAGACTTTTATTTTGGATGCGATTAATCACAATTAATTTTTGCACAGCCCTAATATATATATATATATATATATATATATATATATATATATATATATATATATATATATATATATACAGTGTATATATATATATATTAGTGCTGTCAAACGGTTAAAATATTTAATCGCAATTAATCGCATTAACTCACGATTAATCACGCATTTTTATCTATTCTAAATGACTCTTTTTCATGCTTAAAACAATGTCTAACCTTGCTTACCTCGAGGTGGACAATGTGAAAGTGACCAGAAGCAAGACATTTCTTTGAACACACCGAAAGAAAAAAAAGAAACCCGATGACCGATAAGCAGAAGCTACTTTTGCCTCAAAAGTAACATATTTCGAAATGCAGGTCCTTCAGTAGTCACGGGCTGTTGCTGTTCCCATAGAATCAGTCCTAATTGAAATGGAGGAAATATGTTACATTAACAGTAAATGTCAAATACACCATTGCATCTCATCTCACTTAATATATTCTGTGGCTTATTTTATTTTAATGGCACTGTGAAATGGCTGATTGCACTCTGCAGCAATTTACTGTTCCTAACAAACAGGAAGTGACCCAAACCATGACTGTTTTGTAAGAGCAAACCTTAAAGCCTATGCGTCTGCGAGGCAGTTGGCATTGATGCCTTAAGATAACCAGCATGCGATCTATGTAATTTAATTCAATACAGAATACTATTGATGAACAAATAAAATGGGCTATTCTGTCCACTGTTTGTGTATAATGTATTTTAAGGATTATAGTTAAGCTCTATCGGATTCCTTTGAGCCAAATCTGCCATGCATAATTCTGTTTATGCGCCATTGTGTAGAGCATTTCAAATCAGACACTTTGATGTGATTTAGCATGTAGCCTTAGAAGTTAGCTATCTATGCAGGAGGCATATCATTAGGTTTCAGAAAACAAAGCCTTTATCACTATTCAGAGTTGAGTATCCTTGATTTCCACAAATTGTTATAGTATAAAGTATCTGAACATGTCTCTTTTAGTAGCTCCTAACCGTAATATGGCACATACGCCTGTCATCTCAGAGCAGATATAAACCAAAATGGCATCCAACAGCCGTGACATTCTGACGTGTTCATTCTCCAGAAAGAACCTCTACAAGGTGTTCTCCTGGGATTGAACGCAGTCAGTTAGCCTAGAGTCAGTATTCATCAACAGCTTGGCTTCCTCATCCATGTAATGATTGTGCCGGATAATCTCACTTGCAGAAGGAAAAGAAGCTGGGGTCGATTTCAAGTTGCTCAGGTTTTCTTTTTCAGTGTAAATTTGTGCTGAGGGCCATGATGTAGAAACCAAACGCCTCAACTTCCTGCCGGCAAGACCTGGCAAAGCAAAGCTGAGTTACCTTGCTTCAAACCCACCCATGTGCTAGGCAGTTCTATAATGTGGATGAAGGACTTATTGCGGTTGATATTCCATTAACTGATTGGTAACCAAGTTAAAGGGGGCATATCATGCTTTTAAATCATTCCTTTTTACATATAAATCATACATTTGTGGCCTATATAAAGGGGAACTGCAATGCTTGGGTCTGAAATGTCCCCTTTAATAGTCACAGAACAGAAACCCTTGACTCTTACTTTTTCCATCTGTTAATGCACATTTTTTTGGTACATTGTTCATCTCTTCTGAAACTAGCTAAGCAACACAAAAAAACGTTGGAAATTCCAACCACATGTCTATTTCCGCAACGCTCTTTAACTCATTTAATGACATCATCTCTCGTCAGCTGTTCATTGAAACAAACATGCTATTGATTTTAATATGCATTAATTACCGCTATGTGATTCCCATCCTCCTCGTCTATGATTCTTCCCCCCTCCAGTCGCTAATTGTGTTGCCTTTCATCAGTGCCCTTTCAGATTGCGTTGGCATTTTTGTCACCACCCTGCCAGTTCTCATTCCGATCTCAACGAAGCCCCGCAGACTGATTTACATGCGTCTGCAGTGTCGTCGTTCCACCTCAGATGAGATGGGGGGAGCTATTCAGATGAATGGAAGTTCAATTAATACAATCGATTCAATTTCCCAAACACTCGAGCACAAATAGTTTCACTAAACAAAGACACTAAATATGTATGTGTTTGGACTAGCATTCTGCATGTAGTCTATTTAGTGCACTTTTCTCTACATTGCAGTATAAAACAGAGCAAACTGAATCTCAATTACATTACACCTTACTGTACATTTCCAGTGTGATGATTGAACTTTTACTTATCAATTATGAATTCATGCAATTTAGCATACTGTTTCACTTACTTTTTTAAAGAAAAATTAAGCTGTGTACAGTGGAACCTTGTTTCCACCACCGAATAAAAAAAATAAAGGTGTAATAGTATAAAAATAATTATATGCTAGTATGGTATTCTGTATTTAAAGCAGAACTCCGGCGCAAAATGAACCTTTGGTCTAATGAAACATTGATATCTACTGTACACTCTCAGAAAAAATGGTACAAAAGCTGTCACTGGGGCTGTACCTTTTTAAAAAGGTACAGTTTTGTACCTAAAGGGTGCATGTTGGTACCTTAATGGTACATATTAGCACCAAAAATGTACATATTAACACTTAAAATGTACATAGTAACACTTAAAATGTACATAAGCACCTAGAATGTACATATTAACACCTATGTACATATTAGCACCTAAAATGTATATATTATACATATTAGCACCTAACATGTACATATTAACACCTAAAATGTGTACATATTGTACATATTGGCACCTGAAATGTACATATAACCTAAAATGTACATATTAGCACCTAAAATGTACATATTGTATTAGCACCTAAAATGTACATATTAGGACCTAAAATGGACAAAAGTTTACCTTTTGAAAAGGTACAGCCCCAGTGACAGCTTTTGTACCTTTTTTTCTGAGAGTGTTAGTCAACCGTTCTCTGAGATTTGCTTTCATGATAATCGAATGTAAAGAGTTTTATCTCTAAAAACTGTTTAGCGCATAATGCTAGTAATGGGGGCATTTGATAAGTAAACATAAATTGCTAGTTAATACCACCAACAAGGCTCAAAATAGCCCCACACTAACACAGTAACATAATTTGGGTCCCTACATGCAAAAACGAATCATCGAGATCTTTGTAAGTGTATTGACCGTTTAATAAGAAGATATTTTATAAAGACAGTCCATTTCGTGTTTACAGACAGAAGACATTTTTGGAAAACAGTCTTGACTAGTCAAACCTGACATGACAGTTTTAAAAAATATGTAAAAAAAAAAAAAAAAAAAGTTTACAAAAGTTACCTATTGCAGCTTTAAGCAGTTAGCGGTATGCTAAGCTAATAGACTAAGCTCTCAGCTTTTTAATCAAAGGCTTATTGAAAACACAAATAAAATAAATCTTTCATTTGACCCTTTTTAGCTTGTGACTTGTGTTTTCATAAGCTATTTTCTATATAATTTCTAATGAGGCTGTGGGGGAAAAGACCTGGCATGGCAGCAGAAAGTCGTCAGCATTGCGGCTAACACGGTTAGCGGCATATTTGACTGTTTCAAGCTCTTTAAACATTGTTCTGTCTCTCTCCCCTCTATCTATGTCCATAATGGTGATCATACCTTCATTACCTTCATCCCTGGCTGACTTTTCCTGGCAAGGATGTTGTACGCTAACGCATAAGTGGGCTGAGTTAGCCAGGCGAGCAGCTCAGTATGGCCATAGGGAGCAGTTCCTGCCCACGCATGGGGAGCGTTAGCAGCGGCCCAGTAGTACCCTGAACTCCATCTCACGGAACAAGAGGAGTGTTGTTTGACCGCAGCAGGACTGGCATATTGCTTACACCTCCTAAAGGGCAGAGGCGGGAGGGAAAGAGCGAGCCAGCGAGGGGAGGGATATTTGCCACACATCACTGGAGCCTGTGGGACAGCTTCCTCCTCTGTGAGGAACTGGCTGCGAATGAGAATCACAGAAGCGTAGCTGATTAACATACACAGCCTTCTACTGCCTTATCGTTCCCTACATTAAAGACATTACACAGGAAAAAAAAAAACCTCCCAGACTTTAATTATAGTACATCTCATTGCCTCTATAGTTTCCTAATCAGAAAGACGTTCATATTTTTGCACTCATTATTCTGAGTCATTTGCCGTTTGCAAATTGAAATGAGTTGTGAGCTACGCGGATGTGCAAGCTAAGATTTTTTTGTTGATTATTGATAAACAGCGATTTATTCATCGTCAAGCATCGAAAACTGTGACGTTTTCCTAATTCTTAAATTGTCGTTGTTGTGCTCAGAGCTTAGAGACACTTCCTGTTGCCAAGGATACACTCTTGACAAAGCAATGTGGGATGAGAGCCAAAGAACATTTTACCATACTCTCATTTATAGTTGTTTTTCTTCTGATTATTTTTAACACACAACTATTTTGCACCTAAATGCATTTATGATAAAAAATAAAAGCACATTAAGTGTTTTACAAAGAAATAAAATAGGCAGTTGTGGATATACAGTACGCCGTAGACTGCTTTGTATTCCTGCACACAGTCAATAGCCTGACCCCCATGTGAGCAAACCACTAATGAGCCTTGTAATTAATACGCAGTCGCCACTTACGAGTTGAAAGCCGCAATAACCACGCAACTGCCATTGAAACCTCACTCTCAGTTGTCCTGGCATGGCTGTAATTAACACAAGCAACAGACACGAAGAGGAAATAGATTCTAAACCAATGGTGCCGGTGCCGGGCCCAGGGCAGAGATGATTAATGTCTTGTTGTTTTAATCGATTAATATCTCGCTTAACATTTGGAAGGCCTGGAGGGAGACTTTATTTATGGCCTTTGATGATTTGGAGCTGTCAAAAACCCTTAATGTATACATTTGTTTTCCCTTCCTCCAGGTTTCTCAGTTTTCCATGTCAAAGCTCTATTGTACGTAGGGGTGGGAGATGTACCGATAGACACGAATTAACTGGTAGAAATGTATCAACCAATGCACCCATGCTGCGTGCTAAACCATTGAAGCACAAGCTAAGCTGTGAAAGAGAACTCATTTTAGTATAGACCATTTTGCAAGATGTAAACAACACTGGTCCAGAAACACTTCCTGTTTCAGTTTTTATTTCACATGTAAAGAAAACATCTTAAAGATGTTTGTTTAACTTTTTGATTCAGTTTTATATGTCCTGTTGGTTGTATTTTATCCCAGATTTTATTTAGTTTTAAAAAAACTGAAACAGGAAGTGCTTCTGGACCAGTGTTGTTTACATACTCATACAGCACGAATACTAGACCGAGTTCTTTTTGCCGCCTTATTGGGTTTATAATGATCAAAAACACACTTATGTGTCAAAATGGCCAGTGAATATTCTCATAAACACAATTATTTATGTCTAAAAGGAGAACTCCGGCGCAAAATTAACCTTTGGTCTAATAAAACATACGTACCTAGTCAATCGTTCCCTGAGATTTGTTTTCATGATAATCAAATGTAAAGAGTTTTATCTCTAAAAACTGTTTAGCATATAACGCTAGTATATGGGGCATAGAATAAGTAAAAAGAAATCGCTAGTTAATACACAGGAAAGAACGAGGGTCAAAATAGCTCCACACTAATGCAGTAACATAATGAGAGTCCATTCATGCAAAACGAAGCATTGAGATCCTGGTAAGTGTACAGACCGTTTAATAAGATACTTTATAAAGACAGTTAACTTCGTGTCTCCATTCTCATAGATTTGAAACGTTATTGAAATGACGTCCCAGATAGCAAACTGACATTGAATCAACGTGGAAACATGACATCGAAACAACGTTGATCTGACATTGTTTTGCTCATCGAATTAACGTTGAACCAACGTCAGACGCGTCATTCTTTCAAAACTAACGGAAAATCAACTTGAAATCAATGTTGTTTCAACGTTATGAAAGCAAACCAATTTTCGATTTTCATTTAGCTTTGAAGAATGTCGCGTCTGACGTTGGTTCAACGTTAATTCGATGAGCAAAATCAACGTTGTTTCAATGTCATGAGAGACGTCGTTTCCACGTTGATTCAATGTCAGTTAGCTATGGGGTTATAGTTGCCGTTCTTACTTAATGAAGTTACAAAATACTATGAAAAAGTATGGAAGTCATGAAACGTGAATGTAAAAATCTCAAAATGCATCTACAAGACTACAAGAATCATTTCTTCCCCATAAAACTCTGTATTTTAACATAAAGTGTTGTTAATCTTTAGTAATACGAGTTTGTGAAGTTCACTAGTCTCTGACTGTTTTTGATAATCAGGATATGGTGCTCCAACAGGTGGGTGGACACACCATGCTACCCATTCGCTGGATGCCACCTGAAAGCATCATGTACAGGAAGTTCACGACAGAGAGCGATGTTTGGAGCTTCGGCGTCATCCTCTGGGAAATCTTCACCTACGGCAAGCAGCCATGGTTTCAGCTGGCAAATAATGAGGTATGTTAATTTTGTCGGATCCCATAAGAAAAATCTCTCTGACAGAAACAAGTCTTCTTTTTAGATGTTTGCTAGCCCTCTGGCTAGCTTTGGTCACGCGTTATTAGTTAACTGTATGACTGGCGTAGAGGTGAAAGCAAGGTGCCCAGATGAAATGATAATAAAAAGCTTAATGGAGACAGAAAGTCTATACTGGATGAAAAAAAATGGTACTGGAGTGTGAAAATAATTTAGCATTATGAGACACATTCAGTTTTGAGACAGGTTGACTAAGGAGCGAAATTAAACAACATAATCACTGGCGGTTGTCATGAGGCTTTTGACAGGTATAGACTTGTAACTCAAGCTCGAGTTTTTCCTATGAAATGAACAGGGAGTACACATGTTGAAATGTCATGTTGGATTTTTTGTCTCACACATATTCCCTTGTGTGTCGAGTTAATGAGGAACATTGCCACTTAATTTTCGGCTATTGTTGTTCTCCATGTAACGTTTCACAACTAAGGTTTGGATGAACTCCAAACAGCCACACACACATAGAGATGCTGCTCCCAAATTATTCCATTGTGTCTGAATAGCAAAGATTATTATTTACCTTTTCACATAAATCGCATAATTACCACTATTGAACTAAATATTGTTATGGTTAGACAAGCCTTATAATGTTGTTTTCAGTACTGGTACTAAACTGGGTTTTATGCATTCATAGCAAAAATGGTGCAAACAAATATAAATATACAATAAAAAAGAAGATAGACTATGAGTGAATGTAGATTGTTTAAGAGATGAATCTCTTGAAACCTAATAAAGCATCTAGGCCATATTTCTCCCCCATAAATCAAAAGAAAATTGTTTTAAATAAGTTGTTTTGCACATAAAATTAAGCCAATATATGTGTACACATACATGGGCTTAATTTTAACAAGCAAAAAAAATTTAAAATTATAAATTTATTTATAAATATAATCAGCCACGACTTGAACAAATATAAAGAGTCTTAAGCAGAGGAAGTGTTAATGTTTTTCTCTGCTGACCAAACACAGCTGGATGTGCTGAAAATACTTCATTCCCCACTTCAGATTCCCAAGCTGTGAAAATTGAAAAAGCGACAGCGATTCTCTTGAAGCTTCTATTCGCAGCTGGTTTGAGCACTACTTCACACTGAGATTATCAATATCAACTCAGCGAACCATAATCTATAGGTGCTGTGCGATTTATGCAAGAAAGATGTGTGTTTGTATTATGCACTGAAGGGGCTTGAATGCTAATCGCATGCACTGCTCCATATTCTGGTGCCAGAGGGCTGGTGGCTACTGTATTGCATCAGAACGTATGCTGTCATTTCTACCGGTGGAAGAAACTAAATCAAACTTTCAGTCGATAGAACACAGACATCCACAAGCTGGAGTCAGCGCGGTGGACACAAGGGACCACGAACAATCATCTGTCTTTTCTAAAAGTCGATATGAAGCCATCCACTGAAGCAAATGTCTTCAGTTTCATGAGATGGTCCTATTTTGCGTATCATAACACAAAGGCCATAGATTGTTTCTCTACAGAAACAGAGAACTGTTAAATGATAGATTAAGTCTGTTGTGTAGTCTGTTTTGTGTTGTCAGGACTGTCAGCAAGTCCTCTCGCCGCATCTGACTCTTTCAGAAGCTTCCTCACATACTTCCAAGAGTGTAAATATAATAATTTAGAAATGAAGCTCTGAATTTTGATATCACATGACTTTAAGTTTGTGACTTGAATTACAAAAAATGATACCTGAAATATATATATATATATATATATATATATATATATAAATAATACTGCAGTATAACCATGCTGTTGGTCTGAAACAACTTTTGATAGCGAAGCTGAATTTTAGGCGTCATGAATAGTAGTGTGTTTCTATATTTGGATATTTTGAAATCAGTAGATAGAGAATAATTGATTGAATTAAAATATCTATTTTTAAATACATCACTCAAAACTAGTTTAGCTAAATATTTTGTTGTCCCGCCTACATTAAAGGGGAAATGAAGCGGTGAATCAAGTTTACATGATTTACAAGATGGATTTCCAATATAATCAACAATTATATAAGAAACATTACAAATGTAAATATTTAGAAGAAAAAAAGAAAAAACTTTGTATCTTTCGCCGCCAGGGCGCCGCCATTGTGCAGTTGACGTCACGGGGTTGGTTGGCTCAAGTTTAACAGGCTCTGGGCATTGAAAATCGCGACATCAAACTGTGTTTATACCAGTGTTTTGACCGCGAACGATTAATGTTAGTTACAGTTATTAGACAAAAAGATGACGTCTAATGTTATATGTTGACAAACTGCACATAGAAACATTGTTCGCAATGTCTGCCGTCAGATATTCCCGTCTCGTCAACACCATGTAAGTCACGTTGCTGTGTAGAACAGTCAGTGGTGGTTTGGGGGCGGAGAGCGGGTTTGCAACGCTAACTTACCAGGTGTCAGTGTGGCTGTTGTACTGCGATGCCCTCCGTGTCAATGTCCATCCCGTTGTCAAGAGGTTGATCGTGAGCATGTATTGCGTGGTCAATTCTGCATCACCGGCGCGCACGTTTACCATGCTGTGCCGGGAGTTAGACGTGTGGAAGCGGCGATGCTTTCCCTGAAGGATGTCAGAGCGGAGACACTTTTTCCTAGTATATGTAGGCTGTAACTACTAGCACTACCAGTGCAAAAATATGGACGTTTCATTTCCCCTTTAACAAATACATGCTAACTTACATGTTGTTGACGAGACGGGAATATCTGACGGCAGACATCGCGAACAATGTTTCTATGTGCAGTTTGTCAACATATATCATTAGACGTCGTCTTTTTGCCTAATAACTGTACCTAACTACAGTTTTGTAACTGTACCTAACTGTAGTCGTTCGCGGTCAAAACACTGGTATAAACACAGTGTGATGTCGCGATTTTCAATGCCCAGAGCCTGTTAAACTTGAGCCAACCAACCCCGTGACGTCAACTGCACAATGGCGGCGCCCTGGCGGCGAAAGATACAAAGTTTTTTCTTTTTTTCTTCTAAATGTTTACATTTGTAATGTTTTTTATATAATTATTGATTATATTGGAAATCCATCTTGTATATCATGTAAACTTGATTCACCGCTTCATTTCCCCTTTAATAAGTAGGTTTTGATTTTGTAATATTGTTGGTATCGTAAAGTATGTAAATACTTAAAGGGATAATTCACCCAAAAATGGAAATTCTGTCAGTGTTTACTTACCCTCATGTTGTTCCAACCCCGTATTACACAAATTAAAATATTTTTGATGAAATCTGAGAGCTGGATCACTTCTTCATACTAGTCCATAGTCTTCTTGAGGGATTGAAACTTGCCGGCCCCGAAAAGTTATTAAAGACATCGTTAAAATAGTCCAAGTGACTACAGTGGCTCAATCTCAACTTTATCAAGCGACAAAAATACTTTTTGAGCGCAAAAACAAGCGTAAATAACGACTTTATTTCAACTATTCATTTCCTTCTCTGTGGGCCTCTAGTCAGTTAACGTAGTGTGATGGCGTAGAGCTACGTCACGCGTAGGCTCACTATTGGCCGACGCTGGTCATGTGTGTGATGCGTGTGACGTACAACAACAGTAGCTTACGCTCACGTTTTTTGGGTGAACTAATGCCCAGTTTTATACAATATGTAACAGGAGCCCTTGGCCTGGAAAAGGTTGAATAGAATATTTATCAATAAATAATTCCCTACTCTCTCCCTGTCTTTGCAGGTAATCGAATGCATCACACAAGGACGTGTGCTGGAGCGGCCACGGCTTTGTCCCAAGGAAGTGTACGACATTATGCTGGGATGCTGGCAGAGGGAACCGCAGCAGAGGTTGAACATCAAAGACATCCAGAAAATTCTTTATGCCTTGGGTAAAGCCACACCTGTCTACCTGGATATCCTGGGCTAATGTTTGTTGGGAATATGTTTGGATGTCTGTCTGCATCCGTTGGATAACGGAGGAACGGAAAAACCTGGGATTTACCCCAAACAACATGTACCACTGTCAGACAACTACAACATGGGATGGACTTAAGTGCCTGCTACTCCTTTCGATACACTGGATAACAGTCTTTAAAAAGCACTTTTACATTTTGTTTACCTGCATATAAAGATGTACAGTTCTACTGCAAGAAGAGGAATCTCCTTTATTTCTTTGTTATTTTTCTTTTTATTTTGGTAAGAACAGCCTACTTTTAAACTCTAAAGGAAAAGGAACAATGGAAACCATTTATTTCCCCCTAAAATATGAAAAAAAGGTTTTGTTTTGTTTTGTTGTTGTTGTTTCCTGACTGCCTGACAATTCTCCCCGTAGTTACTTGTTTTTCATTTTATAAATATATATATTTTTTTTATTTATTTTTCTTTCACTTCCAAGTGTGGATGTATGCCATGTTTCTTGCTGAGGGTCGCCTTTCGGATATGACTGCTTAACGTGTTGCCATGTCAGATAATTGGCAAGGACTTTTTTTTCGAAAAAAGCCTTACTGCGCTCTGATTGGCCGGATCTTCTCTTTGACTCTACAGGAAGTATCCAACAGGGCTTTTAAATATTCTGAGGAGCTTTTTAGTGAATGGAATAACTTGAAGGAACCACCAATCAATACAAAGGAGTTTATTTAAAAAAAAAAAAAAAGAATGTACATAATGTAAATTTCTGTCACAAGCAACAGTATGTTAACTTATTTCATTTCCTGATTAGATGATTTTAGTTCCTTGGCGTGCTGTTACGGTGAGTGACTTCTATAAATATTTTGATAATATTTTAATGTTTTTTTTTTTTTTTTTTCACATGTCCATAGAATGTATGTTGATATTTCTAAAGGATTTTTTTTGTTTGTTTTTTGGTTTTCCCCCTCTTTTTGTTTTGGATGTGACCTAGAGCTCAAGAACGGTTAGGGTTTTCAAACAGAAACACACCACAAAAAGGGAAATCATGAGATGTTGCCTCGCTCCTTGTATTCCAGAGACCATTTGCTTCTGAAATGAATGTAACAGGAACAGTAGAATTGTTTCCCAAGTGAGATCATGCCCAGAAAATACTCATATTCCATTCATTAGCCCTCATTGCTTTTATGAACTGTGATTTATGCTTCTTTGCAAACATAATATATCATCCTTTACCATAGTTTTATTAATAAAAGAGAGATGGTTACGCTAACTGGAAGAACTAGCATGAGCAGCGTTTTTCATTATGTCTATGCTAAATTCCATAAGAAACACTGTCCATTCCTAGTTCTCCAACCAGTATCATGTAATAAATATAGCTATGCTTCTAATAGAGTCATCAAAACATAATGGAAGAGAATCCATAACAGCATTGTGGATTCCACAATAAAGCGATAATTGCATAATCAAGATGGAGCTTTCCTAATACTAAAGGGCTTCTTTGAAACATTCTTCATTTATTCTGAAGTGACATTTGGATTTTATTGTAATATATTCTCTCGGTTTTGCTGGCTCATGCTTTTCATTCAAGGTGATCTGTGGCTCAGTATTTGTCTAATGATAAATCTATAATCATTACACGTGGAATAAATCAGCCAAGTAATCTTTAGTTCAGCTGCAGAAGCGGTGTGCCTATCAGTGCAAACGATTCTTGAGCACACACTTTTACATCAATCAACAGCGGAGCATTTTATAAAACTAAACCACAACTAAACCACTACCAAAAGTGAAAAAAGTCAAAAACTTTCCTGCTTTTAACAGGAAAAAGTCTCTATCAGGAACCGTGACTTAAATTGCTGTTCGAGGCAACCTGCCCATCACAGTTCGACAGAACACATTTGCGCTTAACCATAATCTCAACCTTCACATCAGGAAAAGTTCCTGGCGCAGAGGAAGTGACTTGAACATTTGTTGATCTTGTTGTGTTGTTTCTCTCTGCTTCCCACAGAGGCCAGATAATTCTCTCCACATCTATGACAAGGGGGAAATTGCAAAAGTCTTTCAATAACACCGTCAGCGATGTGCTTATGTATGATAAGACGCTGCTCATTTTGATTTTCTCGTCAGCTACGGGGCCCTGCTGCAGATATCCACTGACTTTGCAATTTTGCTCACCAAGCTTTTGTGCAGAACACAACTGCTTGCTCGAACAGACTCGAGTTCTGCTTTCCTCTAGCATCTGCATCCTGGACGAGCCCTTAGTTTGGGAGTACGTTGTAAACACAGTCCCCTTTTCCACCAACAAGAACCAGGTGCCGGTTCAGAGCTAGAGTTGGTTCGGAGTTGGTTCGACTGACAAGCTTTCAAAGAACCGGTTTGCCTTTCCACAGGCTAGAGAGCCATCACAGAGCCAGATCTTACGTCACTGTATACTCATGTTGCCCAGCAACGCTAGCGCGGCACACACAAACACACCAGGCTTGTTCGAGATGGTTCAACACTGTGAATCCCGAACTGCGAGAGAGATTCGAAAAAACATTAGAAAAAGATTCGATTCAAAAGCAGGAGTCGTAAACTCTCCAAACACTCCCGCGGCTCCGATCAGTCCACTCTGCATCTCGAACAAGCCTTCCATCAACATTGGCGGTTGTTGAGTTACTATTTATGCTCATGGCTTTGCAAACCTACATCGTTATTCAAACACGGCGAATCCAGCACATCCCTGCAGCTTAACGAAGATTACTATCGAGCTGCTAGTAGCATGATTAGCTGCTATTTAAAAAAATGGCAGTCACAAGTTTTTTTTTTTTTCGTCTTGTTGGTCACAGTAACCACGCCCCCGGCTGCTGACGTAAGCGGTTCTTACTTCTAGACCAGCAATGATTTGGTGCGGAGCTGGTGCTTTGGTGGTCGAGAAAACAAAGAACCGATTTGAAACTAGGCTCTGGCTCCGAACCAGCACCAGCTCTGCCTTGGTGGAAAAGGGGTATTCATTCATTGTAATTTTTGCAAATCTCTCATTGATGTGGCATACTAGATTTTACATGTCAATTGTAGTAAACAGTGAGCATGCATGCTGAATTAGGTTCTTATTGGAAGGAAAGAAAAAATGTCACTTTTGGCAATGAAAGCAAGTCCCAGCCGTCCCGTAAAGAGACAAAACTTAGAGAATGCAAATCGGGCTAAGTTCAAAATATGAAACGTTATCATGAACAGGCTATTGCTTCTTTTTTCTGTTTGGGCAATTTTATGGGCAAAAAAAACATTGCTGCCTCCCTCACATTTCCCTTTAATAAATTGCTGGTTTATTCTAAAAAGAAAATGGTATCAGCACTAGCATGCTTCATCTCCACTGTGGCAGTTTTTAACAATATTATTAAAGGAATAGTTCACTTAAAAAAATTCTGTCATCATTGAATTGCTTTCTTCTGCTGAACACAAAAGAAGATACTTTGAAAAATGTTGATAACCAAAGTTGATGTATCCCATTGACTTCCATAATATATATTTTTCACACTATGGAAGTCAATAGGGTCCATTAACTGTCATTCTTCAAAATATCTTTGTGTTCATCAGAACACATTTCATTTTGAAGTGAAGTATTCCTTTAAATAATAACCATCGATATTAAATGTATACTTTAATCATGCATTAAAACATTGTCTGGGCATTTGTTTTATGACTGGCCAGCATTTTCCACTTCTGAAACATAATCATAGTATATATTTCTAACAAATAGACTGCACCTGTTTCCTGAAGAGGTCTAAAGGTTGTGGCTCACTGTTGCCGGCAGTGGTTAATGAAGATTATTTGAGTCGCTGGGTACATAACTGTGACTAACAGGGTTGAAAGAGTCAGACATTTCTCTGTGGTTTACTTGGTGGGACCGATCGTGGCTCAACGACCTGTGAAATGTGGATTATACAAAGGGGTCGGGCTGCGGGGACTGGGGAGGCTGTATCTTTATCACCTGAACGCCGTCTGAGAACTAGCGTGCGCTGAATTAGTAGTTTCAGTAAATGAAAGGACGCGAGTGTGTAAGCCACAGCTGGTTTGGAGAGGGGGATCAGAAGAGAGAGAGAGAGTGTGACAGCAGGGTGACGATATGGCAGCTCCAGGGGTTGCCGCGACTCTAATGACTTCACCTTGCAGAAATGGGTGGAAATTACCAATGAAATGAGTTTTTGGCCCGGGCTTTTAGATATCCCTTAAATATGATGGCCAGTCTTTCGGTAATCCCCCTGAGGCAGAGAAGAGAGGTGTGTGTGTGGTTGAACTGATGTGTGTGTGTGTGTGTGAAAGAGAGAGGTAGGAGAGATGAATCAGTGAAGGTCACACGCTAACATAGTGGATAGAAGTGCCACAGCGCTGTCTGTTGGCAGGCTAACAGAGTTGAGTTAAGCATTCAGAGCTGTGAGGCAGGCAGAATCTCCCTCTCTCGCTTACCGCCGCCATGGCAGCAAGCAGGCGCACGGCGATTGATGAGAGGTTTAAGACCTTAATCATGAGGAGAAGAAGCGAGGCAGGAAGCTGGAACATTACGTCTGGAATGAGCTCTCTTTCAGCACTTCATAACCCTGCAGACGGGCTGCAGAAACCTTGGCACAGTCACGCTTTGCTGCTGATCTCAGATCAGCTCTCTCCTCATCCATTTATCCTACCTTCTGTGGGCCTGATTTACCAAAGCATTTAGCGCATGCAAGACTGCTTTACTAGGACAAAGTGACGAAGAAAAACTGTAATTGGCCAATCACCGGCAATGTTGCTCAAATCCAATGTCTAGAATTGCCTGCAAAGACGTCATGTGTTAACTTTTTTTACCCGAATTGCTGCCTTTAATATATTCTGTTTTGAGCACTTGGAGGCAATGCTAATCCAAGCTTTGCTTCTTTCGAAACCAGTAACAACCCCATCAAATTAGCCGACCAGCTTTTAGAACTCATTTACCCCCCCGACATTTGATGTGGACACCTGGAGCATTAATCTTCAAGAGATGCAGTCACGCTGAATATCTTACTGATTGAATCTGTTATCCCAAATTGTTGTCTCTGCAGATCTTCGGCTGTTACTGTGACTCGCATAAAACATGCTATTCGTTTTTTGCCTGCTAGATAAAACTCATTTTCATTGCCTTCAAAACATTTAATTAAAGATCCTTATCTGATTTGAAACCCCACTCCTAAATTACAAATGAGACTACCAGAACAAGTCCTTATCTACCTCCCAGTGCATTGCGGCTTAAGTACACTTAATGTACTGTGGAAAGACGGCGTTCCAAACGTTTGGTCGATTCACGTCACACTCTGCTGATGATACGCATATAACAATGGCAGTGTTTTTACACATCCGAAGTAGCGATATCCCTGAGAAAGAGCCAGCTGCATTTCGAGAGCCTGACTCAGCTCACGGCGCAGTTGCTGTACACCCTGGCACATGGACAAGCATGTGAATCGTGTTACTTAGAACATAAAGTGATCTATGGTTTAGGCCGGCAGATCTCCTGAGCTGTGGGAAAAGCTGAACCCGCTTCCAAGGACAGTTGTGCATTTAACTCGGGAAAAGCCTGGCCAAATGCAACTCCGGTTTTCTTAAAAGGGAGGTTAAAATTGACTGCAGCATTAAGACTTCAGATGGGGAGCAATCTCCTGCACTGTCAGCAGACTTTGACATCTAGATTAACCTTGCTGCTGTGAGTGTGCTGACGGCTCTCATTAGGATGCAAGAAGCATCTCGGATCTTCTATTCCAAAGGTACCTTGGCCCCCTCTTTCCCTGTGTGAAAAGGAAAGTGGGATGAGCCAGCACATACACACTGATCCAAGCGAGGTATGTGGAGTATCTTTTTTTGGAACGGAAATGTTGAACAAATGGTGATCTGTCCTAGCCTTGCCTTGCCTTGCCTTGCCACCCTTCCTGGGTTTACTAGTCCACCAGCAAGTATGGATATCCCAAAGGGTCTAGGTGGACATTTAGGTGTAAGTCTCTTTCGGTCTCTCTCTCTCGTCTTTTTGTACAGAACTGTTTTATTTCCTAATAGAGACTACAGCCCTTTGTTCCACAGAAGAATACTTGTCAATCAGAACAAAAAAAGGACTGCGCTCCTTTGAGCTCTTTGTTCAGACTCTTAAATGTATTATTCAAGCTCGTTCCACTCTCTGGTCAAACTGAGGGAGAAAGATGTTTTACCGAGGTGATTACTACAAGGCAGTTCCAACTCCGAGTGAAAAGTTATTTCTCTTGTAATTGTTTCTTTTCATTTGTGCCAGATAATGACTGTAACCTTGTTGGTCAAAGCTCAATACCTAAACAGCATGGCGATTAGTCGTTACCCTATTGTTTGCCAAGTTTGTAAAATAAACTGCCAGTTGTCAACTCAATAAGGCGCCAATAAGTCACTTTTTCTTTCTAGCTGTAGCCGTTCCAAACGTCTTTGATGCAGTATGCTTGTGTATACGGGTTTTTCTGCTGAAACAAATTGGTCTTCGCTAGTACCTGCCTTGCCACGATGTTGTTTAGCAGATTGTCCTGCTTGAACCACTGCTCTTTGATCAACTAAGACCAGCATACCAATTTTAGGTTGTTGCAAGCTATTTTTTACTGCATGGTTGTAATTGTAAAAGCCGTTCAAAACACTGCCTTTAACTAATAGAGCCCATAATCCAACAATGAACAAATCAGGGCTTTCTGAATCGAGGAGCAACTGCTGAGAGATTGCTTTAAATGTCTTCCTTAACGGCATGGCTAACAGTGGAGTTAAGAGGGTGCTAGCAGGGGTTCCACCCATACAATAACCTGATTAAAAATAGTGAGAAGGATGAATAGAGCAGAAGTGGGGTGGCGAGTTTGTGACTCACTCTATGCTTCCCACGTTTGCCTCAGAACTTGGGTGACATTTCAGATCACAGCTCGTCTGCACTAGCACTGCCACCCACAACGCCATGCGTTTAAATCAGAATAAAACTAACCTCTAACTGCAGCGTAACAAGAACATGTTTGAGTCACAGTTATAGTTTGACACCTGGCCCATAAGTTCCAATTAACCCTATCATGATAGAGCTGACATTATAGTTTATGGCACATTTAGCATATTTTCATGAGATCAGGACACAACCTAAACAGGAATGTGGTTAAATTTGTGTCAGGGTCTCCTCGTATTCTTTTATTGATGCACGTGACAGTTATTTATTACTACAAGCAGACCCTAGAGACTAACATTTAAGGCCATTGCTATCAGAGTGTTTGATAGCTGAACGACAGCAAGGTCAGAATTAACAATTAATTGGCCTTAGGTCAAAGTAGTAGGTATGTAGGACACACATGCTTTGTTTTCTGTGGCGGCGTAACAATCATCATGCCATGCTAGAATACACAGGGATGTTTTAGAGATCAAATGCTTTTAGAAACTGACAATTTTATCAATCAAGTGTTTTTGTACTGTATGTTGAAGAGTTGGTATGAAGATAGCTCTGTTCATAAAAGTAAACTTTAAATATTATATTAAGCGAATAACATAGAACGTATTTTGAACGCCATGTTCGGGTTATAGTCGCTGCTGAGGACCAAATGATTTTAGCTTTAGAATCACTGGGATTTGACTTATTTAACTGTAGCTAGTTAAGCTAAGATGTTAGCATCAAGCTTTTGCGTGTTTTGATCAGACTTGCTAGACTAGTTTAAGATATTTTTGATGGGTAGCTTTTGGTGGAAATGTGACAAAGCTGTAAAGTTACACTTTTTTTTTTTCTCTCGAAAGGTCTGGCAATGTTGTCGAAAATCTTATATTATGAGATTATATAACTTCTGCCCTTTTTACAAAATCTTTTTAGAATCCGTCATAAAATGAAGAGATAGTGACAGCAGTGTCATCTTTGATGTAAGACATTGCATCATTCTTATAAGCATTAGTCATTGGATATACTGTAAGACAGCATTTGAATTCTTGGCAAATTCGTATTTTTTTTTTTTTTTTTTAAAGTCTTCGAATCTGTTTCTCAGATAAAGACTGGTGATTAAAGATGACGATTAAGATTCTTTCTTTGTAAAGCAGGGTTTTTTTTTTTAAAGAATTGTCTTTTTTAAACAATTCAGATAAACCATTTTTTTTTCGCTAAATAATGTAAATATTGTAATGAAAGCCATAGATAGATAGTCTATTTGGTATTTAAAGCCATATGAGGAAGTATGTTATAGGAATGGCGTTAGAAGTATATGCACACGCTTAAATTATGTTATCGGACCAGTTAGCTTTATTGTTTGTGAAAGAGGGAAAAATGATTGGGAAAATGGTGTGGGTCTGGAACACAGATAAAACTGCAGTGGAAGAAAAGGAAATGTAGTCTTGCAGTGCTAAATCCAATCGATGCCTAAAAAGCCACAGCAGGAACTGACATTTCCAACCTTGTTTTAAAAGCCAACCTCAGCTATATTAAACTCTGCAGGCAACAGGATTCTCGTCCAAACAATATGGCTCACCATATATTGTTTTGACCATCTTTTCATCTCTCAAACATAGTGGACGTACACTTGGAAAGCAGATATCTGAGCTGATCTTTTTGTCATTGTGCCTGGGCTCTAGAGGAAAGGCCGGACAGGGATCTGGAATGCAGGGAGAGCAGATAGAATCCTAATCATGTATGTGATTGGACTCTGTGTTTCCAGTAACAATAACAACACTGGTAGATATTGGTGGAAGAGAAATATATTACAAGGAGGCTGTATTGCCGTTGCCTCAAATTCATGTCAACAAGTTTTCATCGTTGTTTTCATGTCTTTTAAATGGATGCTTTGTTCAACAGCTTGTTCATTGATGTCACTGGGCAGTATATACAGTAAACAAAGCTAAGCGATTCATAAAACCATGTTCATATTACTCATTAGCAATATCTCTGTGTGTGTCACTATCATTGTAGTATTCATCTTTCAACCTAATATATTTCTCTTCCTGTGAATTGTGTGTCGGAAAATTCCATTGCAATATTCAACTATGGGAGACATTTAAGCTACACATCTGTTTAAATATGTGGTCTTTTTCATCTGGGCAAATGCAAGAACTGCAGTTGGGCAATGTCGAGTACAAATGTCTGAATATTTATGTGTGATGAGTGCATATATTTTGTGTTTTCATTGCCATTGAGCTGTGTATGGTTTGAATATAAAAACTTTGTGACACCCTCTGGCAATCACAGTAATGTATTTTCCATCTGAGAAGTCCTAGCTGAAGTGCTGACTTCACGATTTCTCTCGAGTATTTCTACCATCTTGTCCGAACCCTCGTTAGAATGACGATGGAACGAGGTGTGAAAAAAAAATCTCGCGGTTCCTCTATTTGTAACTCATCGTTAATCCACCTGTGTTCCGTTTACTGATCCATCTATAAACTAAAAACAGCTGTAACTAACTATGTATCCTATGATGATTTATGTAGACTTATTCTATAAATAAAAAGAAAAAAATACACTTCCCTTTGTGTGATATATATATTTTTTTATGGATTTAAATGTGTTTCATAATGAATGTATTTCATTAAGAGAATGTTTTGGATAGAAATGTCTCATAATCACTAAGGCTGCATTTGTTTGATCTAAAAGTGAAAACTCTTATTTCAAATTATAATAATATTTCACAGTTTTCAGTATATTTAAAAATGCAATTTATTCCTGTGATTGCAAAGCTGAATTTTCAGCATCATACCCACGCGACTCTCTGTCGCACATTAGAGAGATTACCGTATGGACAGGAGAAGAAGCTCGCGAGCAAACGGGGAAACGTGGAGGCAAAATGACAAAATAATTAATCAGAATACCTAGCAGAATTGTCTCCTTCTCCTATCTCATGGACAGCTCCTATTCACACTCTCCGCCTCGGCATGTTTCGGAAGGGAATGATTCAGATTTCTCATGCCACAGCACTAGAAGACAGACGGGTTGCTCTAGTCACATTACGTAGTCAAGCTCTGTTTGAGTCTGCGCGTCAGGGATGGAAGTGCTAAAAAAATCCCCAAAAACGGGCTTCAATCGTCTCAATGGAGTTCCAATGAGATCGTTCTGTCCATTTCTTTTACTGTCTATGATTTCAACTGAGAAGACTGAAGCCTGATTATTGCACTTCCTGATGTCTGAGCAACTGCGCAGGCTCAAACTGATCTTCTAGTAGCTGTGCCAAGACAAATCTGAATCAACTTATTCCTCAAAAACGTTGTTGAAATATTTTGTCCCGTTGCTTTTATGGACTCTCTATTTATTGGCTTCTGCATTGACTTTGTGCCTCCATGTCCCCCCGATAGCCTCATAGAAAGTAAAAGATTGCCTGTGAGCTTCTCCTCCTGTCTATACGGTAATTTCTCTATTGCGCGACAGAAAGTCCCATGGTTATGACGCAATCTTTAGCCTATTTTTTTAAAAACAGCTTTTACGGGGCCGTAACGTAAGATACAAAGTAATGAAGAATTATATATATTGTTGTGTGTCTTTAGAAATAAACAATGGACTAATTAAGTCTTTGGATGCCTCAGATGTAAAGTTATTCGCTGTCAAAGTGGCGCCAAAATGAATGGGAGTTAATGGGATGCTTACAGCAGGTGAAGTTCTGCTACAATGGCGGCTCCCGCGAGGCTTCAACTTCTGGCTGATGGATTACCCCCTTGGTCTACACGCGAGGTCGGAGCTGAAAAATAAGCCAGCGTCTATCAACTCTATGCTTTCAACGGACCAGATATTAACATGGAAGAGGCAATCCCCAAGAAAAGGAGGAGGATTAGGGCGAGGGAATACGGTAGTTTTTTGTCAAAGAAACGAATAATAATCGGGAAGGCTTTTGAATGGTGTAGACTAGAGAACTCAAAGAATTGAAAATGTTTAAATCGAACGCCGAGGTTGAACTGTTTCTTCTGGACAGGTGAGTAGCTTCTAGTGCTGACTTTTTGTATGTGAACTATGTGTGAAAATATAATTCTTTAAAAAAAATACGAGTGAAGCTCGACTAAACTTGGATAGCTCTAGCGAAGATCACATTGTAAGGATTTAGAGTGTGAGGATTTAGAGTGTACTTGTAGCCACAAGTAATTCATTTATTTGAATTAGCAATAACACTAGCCTACGTTCTGGACTAACTTTAGCCGAATAATAATAATAATAATAATAATAAGCTGTTATAATATTATTCCAGATAGCTGTTGTTACCATGAGTTTTCCCCATAATGTTAGATCTGTAGCTAAATGACTGATTCTGGTACGTTTTATCATACAGCTGCTTCCAATGAAGCACCAGCAAAACTAGCTGACATGGCTCGGCTGCAGATTTTATGTACATCATTATACTTTGTAATGCAAAGCAGCCAAGTTCACATTTTACAGTTCACAGAATGAGCCATCATTGCGCGTGCAGGATCGTTTTTTTTTCATGATGCACGAGCTAACTTGTTTTGTTTGGGATCTCGCTTCAAACACAAATAGAAGTGACGTTACCCACAATCACTGATACAACCTTTAATATCACTCTTGAAGCTGTACAATACCTGAATTACAGCCTAAAGTCATCTGAGCAAACAGGGCACCTTTTCTGGATCCTCAAACCCCTTTAGTTGCTTTGCCATCTGACCTTGAGAGAAATAACTGTCTCCTCATTCACACACTGTGGGCTGGAGAACATGATATAGCCACTGCTGCCATCACAGCCATATATTATATGCACCCAAATCATTCTGCATCCACGACAGCCTGTCTCCAGGGTGGAAAGGAGGAGGCATTAAGCACTTCTACCAGCAGTGTGGCAATAACCTCTTTAGTCGTGACCTTTCCAGAGAATGCAGTGTAAAGCACCTTCCTCTTTTAACCCTCATGGTTCAGAGACAATATCAAATTAGACCTTATTTGATGCCCTGGTAACCCTGGGACCTGTTTTTCATGGGCTGCATTTGAGCACTGCTTACTAGAGGAAAAATGCATGGACTTGTACTGGAATATTCCCTTATTTCTTCAAAACACCCTTGCAATGTCCTAAAAAAAAAAAAAAAAAACACTTGGTAATGTGCTAAAATGCACTAAAAACATCTTAGCAATGCACTGGCAACTGCCCAAGTGACCACAGAGCAATGCATTAATATCCACTTAGAAAACCAGTGCCCTGGCAAAGACTCAGAACAGCCTAGCAACTGCATAAAGCCAATCAGAACACCTTAGCAACACCCTGGTAACCACACGCATTTTGCACTGACAAAGTCCCGCTCCCCCATATTGTTTTCAGTTGAAGCACTGTGTTATAGCCTTCTACCGGTCACAATTGTTATTGCAAATATATATATATATATATATATATATATATATATATATATTATGCAGGAGTATAATTATGGGCTGAAATATGTACCATCAGAAACTGAATTTGTGCCATTTATATTTGAATTTGAATGGCTAAACTTGAATAATTGCATTGAAAAACTGAATTTAAATCACATAATTTGAAATTGTATTGTTTAATTAAAATTGAATTTATTTGTTTGGAACTGAAGCCCAAATAAAATTTGATCCTCACTGAAAATTAAACTCTCTATATATCTTTACATTCACTTCTCACAATTCAGATTCAGGTCTCAAATTCAATTTCAAGCTACTGAGACAGATATCCGGGTAGTTGGAGGATGAATCACATAGACATATACACTAGACCTCACCTGGGGGTTCTAAGCATGCGTCAAAACCGCCGCCATCTTGGAACAGGGGTCTTGTCATAGGAAGTAGCTAGGTAACGCTGCTATCTCTGCCTTTACTTCGAATTCATTGATGGTGGCGGACTTTTGTGCAGCGTATGAAGTTCACGGATGAAATCTGAACTAGGAAGAATGTTTAAAAAAATAAATAAATAAATAAATAAAAAAAAGTATTTCTGGAATCAATGATAAATACATGTCTGACTGTTGGAACAAACCAAAAAAACAAGAAAAATCGCATTCATGATGATTTACGGTGATTTTATTTGCGTTAGACCTATGTCTACTACATTGACGCTGATGCATTAAAGTGGAGGGGCTCCCCTGTTTCAAGATGGCGGCTCTATTGACGCATTCGTTCCAATGAACTGCCGTATCCAAGGTGAGGTCGTGTATATGTCTATGGATGAATCAGAGCAATCGAGCGCAGCCGCAGATCGATAGAGAGCGTTCATTGGCGCACAATCAGCTCTTGGGCCAATCAGCACCAATGTTTTAGAGCACACAGTATGTTACCCGCCATGAAACAAACAACATGCTTCTGCCTGACTTGCCGAGTGGCGTGACCACCACCATCGGCTGGGACAAATACGGTAATGGCATTTTTTACGATCTAACGATCTTTTGTTTAACTGCTGTTAATGTTATAGCTATTTTGTCGAAACGGGGGGAATTTAATCTTTCTCACGACGTTGCTGATGCTAACACAGTTGTTAGCTACAATCCCACGTTTTTATGGTGACATTTTTGCCTACATAGTACGCGATTTCGGACGCAGCCCTGGTGTTTATTATTTTTGAACGTTTGCCTCTTTCTCCGGTGAAAATGTTGTTGCAAACGTAGCTAACGTTAGTGTTAGCCGCCGCCAAGTAGACTGGTCATGTCTTCTTCAGTGTGATTTTTTTTTTTCTTTTTCTTTTTTTCTCGATAACTTCTCCTCGTGGTTAACGTAACGTTAGTAACGTTACTGCTTAGAGAGAGAGCGAGTGAGTGAGAGAGTGTAAGCGTGTAAGTTATGCATCGCTGTTTGGCAGGTGCTAGCATAATGTAAGACCACAAACTTCAGGGCAAACCATAGCACTAGCCCTATTCATTTAAATTGAATGTATAAGTTAGCTAATTCCGTTTGACAAGAACACAAAAATAGCACATTTACACTTCGAAAGAAAGCTGGATGTTTTGTTTAATTAAATTCAATAGTGCATATGGTATTGTGGTCAATAATATAGTGCCTGTTTTATTATTTTATTTTATATTGATATAGCTAGCCATTTACTTGAATAACTTTTTGCAATATATTTTCTTTGGAATATGGAAAACATCTCGCTTTGTAATTTTTGATTTGGTAATATTTAAGTTATTTATATTGTTTTATGGGTTATTAAGTGTATAACTTTTCCAACCTACTGCTGAATTTGTAGAGGCTACAATTACTTGATAAAAATACAAAAAAACTGTAATATTGTGAAATATTATTACAATTTAAAGCAGTGGTTTTCTATGTGACTATATAGTGAAGTGTAATTTATTCCTGTGATCAAAGCTGAATTTACAGCATCATTACTCCAGTCTCCAGTGTCACATGATCCTACAGAAATTATTATAAAATGATGCTCAAGAAACATTTATGATTATTATCCGTGTTGAAAGCAGTTTTTTACATTTTTATTTCAGGATTCTTTGATGAATAGAAAGTTCAAAGGAACAGAATTGATCAGAAATGGAAAGCTTTTGTAACATTAATCACTGCCATTCAAAAGTTTGGGATCAGTAAGAATTTATTTTTTTATTTTTTGGGGGAAAGAAATTAGAAAATACTTTTATTCATCAAGGATGAGTTAAATTGATCAAAAGTTACAGTAAAGGCATTTATAATGTTAGAAAAGATTATTTTTTAATAAATACTGTTCTTTTGAACTTTCTATTCATCATTGAATTTTGGGGGGGGGGGGGGATGGGACAACTGTTTTCAACATTGAAAATAATAAGTTGTTTTTTGAGCATAAAATCAGCATGTTAGAATGATTTCAGAAGGATTCATGTGACACTGAAAACTGATGTGTAATCCGCAACAGTCCGTTGCCCTTCTGGTCCTCTCCTACGCACCTGTCTGCCTCTGTACTAGGTACTGCATACTCTTTTATTGTTTTATGTTCAGTTAGTAGGCTAAATGTTGTGGCTTGTGATCTTAACACAGTATTATGCACTTATGTCCTCAGGACATTACTATGTTTCTACTAATTTATACGCTTTTGTTTTTTCAGAAGTGCTGGTGAAATCTGGGCTGCAAGTCTGGCTCAAAGCGGACCACCTCCCTGCTGCCTCAAACTTTGGTGCTACGGGTACTTGTGTGATGGGGAGATACAGATTTAGCACATTTCCAAAGAGGATGTCTCTGATGCGGAGTATATCACTTCTCTCTCCCAGTTACGAGGTCTTAAGGGTTTTAGTGCTGTAAAATGTTTGGCAACACATTTTAATCAGTGTTTTGTTTTTTTTCTCTCTGTGTGTGTCTTTTTAAGGTTGAGTCAGCCACGGAGGCTACAATGACTGAACTGATTGAGGACATTTGGAGCTGTGGCTATAATGGGCCTGTTAATGTTGAAAAGAGGGAAGAAATTCTTTGGTATAATTGTTTTTTCACTATGCTAATCCTTGTCAATGATGTTAATATTCATGTTTTGATTTTTTTTTTTTTTTACATTTCACTTTTATAATGTTAGAAAAGATTATTTTTTAATAATTATTAATTATTTCCCATCTGCCTTTCTGCTGTTATCTCGGGACGCTTGTCCCTAAAAAATGGCGTTCGTCAGGTCCAGTTTTGTGTCCAGCCTCTCACGGGGATTTCGGATGCCCCAACGCCTGTGATGAGACGACTCAACGCCTGTGAAGAGACGACTCAACGCCTGCGATATGTTATGGCGCCGTTTGATTCATAAACAATATTTATATTTAATATTTATATTTAAACAATATGAATGTAAGCCAGAGGAGAGCTGGCCCCCGACTGAGCCTGGGTTCTCCCAAGGTTTTTTCTCCATCCAATCTGATGGAGTTTGGTTCCTTGCCACTGTCGTCTTGCTTTTGGCTTGCTTTGAGCTTGCTCAGTTGGGGTTATTTAGTGTTTAGCAATGTTGTTGATCTGTGTTGTGCTACTTTCGTGTTATCACTGTGAAGCTGCTTTGATACAATCTGTATTGTGAAAAGTGCTATATAAATAAATGTGACTTGACTTGACTTCATATTGATATATATATTTTTTTAATTGATATTTTTTCTTCATTTTATATTTTAGTGCTGTTGTTCTTCATGCCATACTTCGGCTGCTGCCCCTACTCTCCCAGCTACGTGAAGGTCTGAAACTTTATGGTCTCGTTGATCTAATGAACCAATACCCAAACATCTGCCAACCACTCTTTGTCCCCGGAAGGATGGAGGTGAAGGTGAGTTAATAAATGTAGACTTTAGTAGGGATGTACTGATACCACTTTCAACTAACAATAGTGATTCCAAGTCCTAAACTCAGCTTATTTCAAGTACCAATCATGCCCTTTACTTTAACTTTTTTTGTATAGACTTTGTGGGGTCACAGGTCAATAATAATGAAGATATTAAAGTTAAAAGTCCACGATGCAGAATTGTCCTAAAAAAAACAAAGTATAGTATGACCCCCAACTGGTGTGAGGTGGTTTATTTATCTACAGATATACTGCCTTCTGCTGGTATTTTCTGGTTTTCTTATTATGATGCTGTGTTTGGGACATTTCTGTGTCAACCTTTTGGGCAGTGGGTGTGTAGCCCACAGCCAGCATGTGTGAGGTTGGGACTCATAGCATAGCAAACCAGGTAACGTAATTGTTTTTGTGCTGCTTCTCCCTCTCTCTCAGCTCACTCGCCCACTACTGCTCTCTCTTTCTGGATAAACTCATAACGATACATGGTTTCTCTCACCAGGCTGAAGCTGACTTCGTCTTTGCGGCTTGCCAACCTAAGTTCAGCGAGAAGGGCTCCAACAAAGAACAGGTGGAAGTGAGCGTTATGAACCATTTCCAGGACTTCTTGCAGGAGCTGGAAGCATGTAATTGCTCATGTACTTTTCTTCTTGTAAACTCTGTTTACTTAGTTTCCTCTGTCTTACACATTTTATGAAGTTTTCATGTAGATTATATTATCATTGTAAGTACACTTACGCAATTAGATTTCCAAATTCTACCTGTGTGTTGGTACAGGTAAACCAAATATTTAATTTACATAATTGTTTGCTTTTTTTTTCTCTGAAAAGGTATACGTCCAGAGGTAGGTGACACAGTAGACTATCTTGGTCACCTGTCCCCCAGTATGTTCCTCCAGTGGCTCACAGGACAGGGCCACATTCCTGTCTTACGAGAAGAGAAACTTCAGAGTCTTTGTGCAGTTCAATCACACCAGTGACATCCAGTATGGTTCACATACAGTTTGCATGTAGTAACACAATCCGCCTACCTGTTAAGCATATGCAAACTTTTACTGAGTTCAAGCAAGTGATGACAGAGGCCTTCGATCTAGGGCAGGCATTTCATCAGGTTTAAGTGAAATGTAGCAGTTTCAAATGTTGCTAATTAGATTACCAATTAGTTTTCTTTCATGGTTCATGTACAATGCATATACCGTATTTTCCGCACTATAAGGGGCACTTAAAAGCCTTTATTTTTCCCAAAAAAAACAACAGTGCACCTTATTATCCGGAGTGCCTTATATATGGATCAATTGGTTAACAACGCTCCGCGTTATTGAATTCACCCGCGAACTCGCGCTCCTGTCCATCTTAAGGAGGTCACACACCGGACGAGAAGCTCAGCACCGCGTAGCGCAGCGCCACATCTTTAAAATTCGAATACATTTTTCTCTATGAGTGTACACACACCGGCGGTGCCCAGCAACAGCTCAGGAACGTGTTCAAAATCCTGCTGCGCCACAGAGCGCCATTTACATAGTTATATACGTAGTTTCTAATGGATCCTGACTTCGCCCTATGCTGCTATATATATTTAGTTTTGCATTCGTTTACAGAAATCAGCTGCTTAAATGACAATTGCTGATGTTATTGGATTTTCAGGTGAGATTCTCTATTCATTCAGTAAACGGATGCTCTGAGGTAAAGTTTTCAGACTGCAGACTCAGATTGTATTTAATTGTACAGTACAATCATAACATAGAACAGACATTATCTTCATTTCATAATGTTATTAAACCTAACAATATTGCTGGCCATTCATTGATGAGAAAGTGCGTGTCTGGTGTGCGATACCTGGAGTTGTCCTAGACCTGGCGTGGCGCTTCTCGTCCGGTGTGCGACGCCCTTTATGCCAGCTTTGTCACACGGCCAGTTCAACCTCGAGTCGGTCAGGTTATGTGTGTAAGTAGCGTGCCCGCTCACTCTTAACAGACACACTGTCCCCGGCGCTACTCGCGCGTCACAGAATGTTCATAAAGCGCTCCCCGTTCACAGTAACCGGGTCGTCTCATTCAAAACAGCCAGATGTTGCTGTCAGTGAGCCGCCGCACATGAATACTCATATGAGTCAGGCTGCGAATGTAAGTTACATGCCCGCACCAGTGCGCTCACACTTACTAAATAAACGCCTCACCTCCGGCGCCGCACACTCGCTACATTCCCTTTAGCCTTTAGCACATCTAGTGGATGCATAATGCAAACCCAGTCAAACGTGTGACTGCAGTATTTTGTGCGCCCTATATGTGAAAAATGTTCTAAAGTAGTTCATTCATTGAAGGTGCGCCTTATAGTGCGGAAAATACGGTACATTCAGACAAATAATAATAGATAAGATATTTGTGCAAATCTTTCATCTCAAGTGCAGTTTGTATCTGTTAACCCAACCCAAGTTATACTTCAAAAAGCATTTCCATATGCACCATCCATGTTTGTCAGAAAGATGTCCTTCACTGCGTTCTTTCCTGCTTCCCTGTGGCTGTGTCAGTTTGACAGAAGTCCAATAAATACAAAAACTTTGGAAGCAAAATTGTGGCATTATACTTCGCTGTGAATGGAAGGTGGACCATAAGGTGCCTGGATACAATCATGAATTATTAAAAGCCTTTTAGTCCTCTGATTGGCTCAGACATGACTGTCAATGATGGTGAGTATAGGTACAATGCATGTGCGAGTGTGAACAAATAAATGTCTTCCGAAATTATTTGAATGAGAAAGGGAATCAATGGCAAGGCGTAGAGTTTCAATGTCCTCTGTCTTCAATGGACATTCAATTTCTGGCACTGTAACACCTGTGTTGGCAGAGTTATGAGAGAGCCCTGAGCTCTCCCAATCAATATCCTCAATTTGGACTCCCTAAAACCAAAAGATGATAATATTATCAGTATATAGATTGAAAAAAATCATTTAAAGGCAGACAACAATGTCATTGGCATTATCACTCAACTGCCACATCTTCCTCTGGCTCGTGGATGGGGTGCTGCAGCATCCCGAGCTCCCACAGCTGGTTTGGGGTAAGGAAGCCCTGTGTCCCGATAGGATGAGCAAATCAGCCTTGAGTCTTGGGAGGAAGGTGTACTGAGCACAGAAGAGATGCAGATTATCCGAGATGTCAAGGGATCCATCTTCCTCCAGGCTGTGTAATACGTCATAGTAAACGTGAGTAATTCCTGTCCAAACGTTTGATTCTACAATTCGTAAAGTGAAAAGTCCCCCATGGGTCATTCAAACAATGCACAAGAATAGCCAAACAGCAATTCAACTGGAGTAAATATCACACTGAAGAACACAAGACATGTCGTGTACCTACTTGGGTCTTGGGGTCATTTGATAATCATTTCAAAGGAATAATTCACCTCTGGTTGTGCACACTTTTTCCATTTATAAAGCTTCCATGTCCTGTGCTTCTCATACTGAACATCATCTGGGCAATGCTGACATTTTCAACACCCTGGTCACCTGCCCTGCAACTCGTCAAATTTTGAAATTAGTATCCATCCAGCTGAATCAACAAAACTACTAAAAATACTGGATAATTCATGAAAACTAAATGCAGCATTGACTAATCCTGATAATTTCATGTTTCACAAACAGCTGACAAATCATTTATATTGCTCAAACGATACTATGTGAACAGCATTACTCACTTATAAGGCCATCCAAATCTCCTCACTCCATCCACAAAAAACTGAAGCGCAGTACTCTCTGTGTTGTTGGACCCAGCATTGAGGTACATGATCTAAAGGGTGGAAAACGGACACAAGTAATACTAATAATAGTTATGGGATGGTTGTCATAACATGGATTTGAACAAAAAAATATGGATATATACCAGCAATGTACTTTGATACAGTAGGGAATTTACCTTCCTCGAGTACCCATCAATGCCACCGAATGTCACCATGTTATATCTGGTGAAAAAAAGGACATGGTTTGGATGACAAACTCTGGATTCTGATAGAGGGCAATGGGACTTAGACCTGAGTGCAAAAATGGAGGCTGTAGACCCTTCCAGACCTGAGATATTGAGATCCCACATAGCATTTATGCCATTTTAAATTTCTCAACATCTCAGCTCTGGAAGGGTCTAGACTAGAGCCTCCATTTTTGCACTCAGGTCCCATGGCCCTCTATCAGAATCCAGAGTTTCAAGAAAATTGGAGAAACTTATTTTTTCG